ACAGGGCAGAGCAGATGAAGTCTCCCGTCCTCCGCCGTCACAAGAGGTGGAGGATGAAATGCCTGCAGCACTGTGGACCCTGCCGCACAAGAAGGCACTTTAGGGATGTATCCTGGACGAGGGTGCAGGATAGCCCTAATATTCCCCGGGGCAAACTCCAGGCTTTGCGGGAAACCGAAAGCGCTAGGAGATCCCCCACCCTCCTCAGAGAGGTGATAGCAAGGAGAAAGGCCATCTTGAGGGTCAAGTGCTTAGCCTCAGCTGACTCCAGGGGTTCAAAGGGGGCCTCAGCCAACGCCCCAAGAACCACCGCCAGATCCCAAGTGGGAACCTTGGACCGTGTCGCAGGTCTCATCCGGGCACCACGGAGGATCTGTGTGGACGGGGCCCTGGAGCTGAGGAGGGTCTCAACTGCTCCGGCTGTTAGACCCGCCTCTAGGTACTGTGCCCCCTCAGGGGCCAGACCCACAGCCGCCATATGGCGGGGCAAGGTTGAAGAGCCCGGCCCTGCGCCTGGGACAGCAGGTCTCTCCTCAGAGGGACCTGCCATGGAGGGCCGTCCAGGAGCGACAGTTGGCCAGAACGGGGCTACGAGCAGTAGGCCGACATTGTCCTGGCGGACCTGCTCCAGAACCCCCGGGAGTAGAGCGACTGGGGGAAAAGCGTACAGATGTAGCCTCAGCCACGAATGTACCATGGTGTCCAGACCCACCGGGGCTGGAGGAATGAGAGAAAACCATAGCGGGCAGTGCGTAGTCTCTTGAGACACAAACAGATCCATGTCTATGGGGCCGAACTCTCTGCACAAGAGCTCCACCACTTCGGGGTGAAGTCTCCATTCTCCGGGCCTCAGCCCCTGCCCTGATTCTGCATCCCCAGGAGATACATCGCCCTGAGCGATAGTAACCTCTGCTGGGACCACAGGAGGATCTGACGCGCCAGTCTGTACAGAGGGCGCGAGCGCAGACCACCCTGGTGATTCGGCCACCACCGCTGTGTTGTCGGAACGAACCAGGACGTGGTGGCCTTGGAGATCGGGCAGGAAACTCCTTAGAGCCTGGAACACCGCCAACATCTCGAGACAGTTGATATGCCACTCGGACTGATGCACCTGCCAATATCCCCTTGCAAAGCGGCCGCCCATGACTGCGCCCCAGCCCGTGAGGGAGGCGTCTGTCGAAATGACCAGCCAGCGACAAGACCCTCCCAGCAAGTTTCCTACCAAACTGATAGGGAACGAAGACACTTGCGTGTAAACCAAATCAGACGGAAAGGATTTCCCCTCGGGAAAAAACCCTTGGTCCTTAGCCACCTCTGCAGGGGTCTCATGTTCAGCAGTCCAGATGGTATTACACTGGACGCAGCCGCCAGGAGACCCAACACTCGTTGAAGGTGTTTTATAGTGATGCCGTGGCCTAACCCCTTTCATGGCAGCCAAAATGGTGTCGACACGTGCCGGAGACAATTGTGCCCGCATCGTTGTCGAATCCCATACTACCCCTAGGAACGTAGTCCGTTGGGTGGGCGCCAGCACACTCTTCTTTGCATTGAGCCTCAGCCCTAAACGCAGCAGATGAGCTAGAACGACATCTCGATGCAGAACCGCCAACTCTCGAGACTGGGCTAGGATGAGCCAGTCGTCGATGTAGTTGAAAATCCGGATGCCCTGGAGCCTCAGCGGGGCCAGTGCTGCATCCATACACTTGGTGAATGTGCGAGGGGAAAGTGCCAGGCCGAATGGAAGAACCCGATACTGATAAGCCACACCCCCGAAGGCGAACCTCAGGAACTTCCTGTGAGAAGGACGGATGGAGACGTGGAAATAGGCGCCCTTTAGATCTATCGTGACGAACCAATCCTCGGATTGGATGTGCGTCATGATGGCGGGGATGATGAGCATCTTGAACCTGAACCTCCTCAGAGACCGGTTAGAACCCGCAGATCCAAAATAGAGCGCAGCCCTCCGTCCTTCTTGGGGACTATGAAGTACCAGCTGTAGAACCGGCGTCTCTGTCTGGGGGGGAGTCACGTTCCACGGCCCCTTTCCTCAGCAGAGTAAGAACTTCCTGTCCCAACACCGGACCTTGCTCCGGGCGGACCACAGTCCAAACCACCCTGTTGAATTTTGGAGGGCGGGTTTTGAACTGTAGTCGAAACCCATCTATGGCAGTGCGCAGGACCCATGGAGAAATGTTCGTCAGGCTCTGCCAAGACTCTGCAAAGTCTGCCAACGGAACCAGCCCCTCGGGGCTGGTGGTCGGTGTCTCGTGTGATCTTCTGGTGGACCCCTGAAGCCCCAGAACGGCAGGGGAGAGCCGCCGAAGATCCACGGTGAGTGAGTCTGAACGCCGCCTGACTGCAGACCCTCGTGGCAGGCAGTACGGTGTGGACTCGATGGTGGCAGGTACGTCCCGAACGTGTAAACGGCGGGATAACATCACCCGTTGCCACGGCGGAGGGGACCTCGATCGGCCTCACTGTAGTTCAGTGATCGGGGCGTGGAAAGCCGTGTAGAGAAGGGTCTGCCCCATGATTTACTCAGTTCATCATGTAAATCAGGAAAGAATGGCAGAGACCGGCGTGGAGGTGGTGCATGGTGCTTAAGAAACCTTTCATCAAGCTTACCACTAGCCTGTGGTGTCTGCTCCTCCTGTGGCCAGTTGATGTTGAGCTTAGCCACGGCTCTAGTCACCACCTCCAGCAGCACGTCATAGTCGGGCACCGCCTGATGACGCCACCCCGACACCCGGAAGTCATCGTCCACTACGCTGAGCACGTCCGCCTCCTCGGAGTCGGATTGCTGCAGCGCCTCCGGATCCAAACCGCGAGCGGGAGAAGCCGGGAACAGGCTCCCGAACGAGGAAAGGAAGCGTCGGAGCCAGCGGATGAAGGTCGGGAAAAAGCCTCAGCCGTCCCGAAATCCTCCGACAGATCGCGCTGCGAACCCCATGAGTGAAGCCGCCGGGCCACCTCAGCGGCCGCAGGGCCCGCGCCACGGGGAGAACACATCCGGCCATCCTCGGAAAAGAGAGCCATGCTGTGCCTCAGTACCCGCACGGAAAGGGCTTCGCAACGGGCGCAGGCAGCCCCCTCGAGAGCTGCCCGGGCGTGCTCCGTCCCCAAACATGAGACACACATCTCATGAGAATCTCCATCCGTGATGTACCGAGGGCAAGAAAAAACACACCTTCTGTACATCTGGTTGCCGGACATGCTGGTAGACTTCTTCTTCAGGTAAGACATACTGCTTGTAGGACTGGAGCTTTCTTCAAACAACATACAGAGCGCCTGCTGAATAGAAAAAATCTAATGATGAGTGTGTACAGGTGTGCTTTATACTCCTCCGGTTATTCCGTCACACCTTACCGTTCTAGCAACAAACCAACACCATAGTGTCGTAACCGACGCAGTTCGAGTTCCCTCGAAGGGGAACAGTAGGAGTTCAACCTACTCAGAGTTAACTCTGGGTTATCAGGCAAACTCAGGGTTGAGAAACTCTGACTGCCTACACTAGAGTTAAATGGTACTACGAAGGTGGATAAGATGTTGGTTAGTTGAGTCCGTGTTAACCCCGTGTTAACTTATTTGGAATTGGTGTGCAGAGTTTTTTCGCAACGGCGCATGCTCCGTATTTCTCCAGAGGAATTCACGTTGGTAATGTCAGGAAATTATGAATGTAAAGACAAGTTAATGGCTAAATCTAATACCGTGGCAGGTGACAAAGCCAGGGAGGCTTGTTGACATCGCATTGAGTAAATTTGTAGTGTTCTTATTGTAGTTTAAATCTCTATGTAGGCCTATTTTATGGTCTGTTCTTTTATGTGTAATATGATTAAGATGTAAAGGTACAACTGCACATAAGGTCCATTGTAATAGAAAAAAGGAGCCAGCGGAGAGGGGTAATAATCTGAGAGAAAATTGAATTTCCAAGATTAATCTACAAGTAAAAAACTTTATATAGAATATTCTCTGACATTATAGTCACACGTTTATGAGAGCTTCACTTTGCAAAACTGCAACATCACACACACACGTCTGCCATGTAGGCTATTATGCACGCATCGGATTTAGCAGTGAGGAAATACTCGTGAGTTTAGCCCACAATCACTATCAAGCACTTTAGAGACTTTGCCGTGGATTGGGCGTATTCAGAAGAAAACACCAGAGTGATTTTCGATTTTGTAAGACATTAATTTCAGGGAAATTCCGATTTTTTTCCCACTTTAATCTAGGATTTTTTTTCATGGTTATTAACCCCGACCCTGGCTTTTTATTTTTGGACACGTAAAATCTAAATATGTGAAAACACTCGCACAATTAATTATAGTCTACAGATGGGCTACATCAAAGAAATTATCCCGTTAATTGAAAATCACAGAGGCTGCAGGGCTCGATGTCTGAACGTAATGCTGTAGTGTTCAGAATAACTTCATTTCAACCGCAGTGGAACAAATCAGGATGGAATCTAAACATATTTTATGAAGTGGTGTATATTAATATCCTTCTTCTCATCATTAACACTGAGTACAGATGTGCTGTGTTGTCCAGGAGCGGGGTAACCTCGAGTTAACCATGATCAAAATGATACAGCGTAAATTGCCATGGCAACAGACCTCGGGTAACACCTATACTCCTTTCGTAGTACGGGTTAACCGGGAAGTTACACACCGACGTCACGAAGTTACTTCTGAAGTTACCTGGATAAGCCAGTTACCCCACTTCGTAGTACAGGCTACAGTTCAGGGAACAGAGACAGCTAGGGTGACCAGACATCCCGAAAAATCTGGGACAGTCCCGAATTACGAGCAGTTGTCCCGACCCCTGTCCAGTTTGTTCATAATAAGTTTGATCATAATTGTTTTGAATGTTCTACCTCAGATTTGTGAAGTGATCCACTGTTTGGCATCAAGTGTTGAAACCACAAATTACCATCAGGTTTCTTCAACTTTTCAGGAGCAAAAATCAGCCTTTAAACTTGAAAGAAATAACGATTTGACACATTTCGTGATAATTATTATATTTATTAATTATATTAATTTGTGAGAGTAACTGACCTGCAGCATGATCTTCAGCAGGTCAGTATAGATAAAACCCATTTTTGTAGACATGTTACAGAATTATTGGCACCTAGCTCCCACTTGACCACTTGAGCACAGCAGAAGAATAAGCTTCAATTCCTAAACCATCATTAGCAACAACGAACAGGCCATGGCTCGGTGCCCTGAAAATCCTCCTCTGACCCTCAAGTGGTCCTCTGAGAGATGAGCTAGGAATGAAAAAACAGAATAAGCAGAGAAATGGAGGGTACTTTCACCTCAGAGAGAGTTATTTGTTTCAGGAACAACATTAGTTCTTTTTACCATTGCTGAACCATTTCGTCAAGCAATATGAACAACAACAATGAATAGCACCATTCTTCACAGATGCAAAAGCAGATAAATAAAATATACGGTAATGTAGTACCTTACAAGACGCTCCAGCTTGGAAAGTGGGCTGGCAGCCAGACAGTTGCCGCTCCTGGACTGGTGGAGGGAGGGAATGAGAAATGCTCCAATATCCCGCAATGGTTATAGTCAAAGGTCCCATGCAGAGTGGTGTTGCCATGTAGCAGTATTTACTTTTTCTTTGTAATCACACAAGACCATTTTAAAGATATATATAAGAAGGGGGAGGTCCCTGTTGTCCCATTATGCGCCACGTTTGTCTTTGAAAACCTTTTTAACTGCTGTTTATGGCCCCCCTTTCCCCATCGGCACACCTATAACAACAATGTGCTTCTAAAAGGAAACACAATAGCACACTATCTGCATAGTTTTACTAAAACTACTAGAGGGTTGACCTGCCAGTTTACATCCATACACATGTACAAAAAAATGTGCATTTCACCACATATTGTAGTCATATGATAATATATAATTGCAGTGTAATTTTGCAGTTTCTTTACTATAAGTGACAGCTAATATTGGGCATCATGTAAGAACATTTTTATATCCCTATCCTAGACCTTTCTTATTGTTTTCTGTGAGGTTTTCAGCTTGGAGTGATCTAAGTCGGATTTACCAAATTCACAAACTTGCTGTAAATTGCTCATTTCAGCCAGTATAAATCATGAAATCTATCTTAAAAATATTTTTAACTTTGTAGTAAATTCTCAAAATGTTTAATTGAATATTCATGTTGCATAATTGTGTTACTTACTTAAAGTTGATTTCAGTGTAGCATCTGGAAGAAAACCATACACCAAGGCTAACAGTCCAACCCGCGGCTCATTTGCAACATGTCATCCCCTCTCTCTCTCTCTCTCTCTCTCTCTCTCTCTCTCTCACACACACATTTCCTGTCTCTCTTAAGTAAAGGCAAAAATCACCTTGTTGATTTCAGCAACATATTTAAACTCCAAATTCATTTAGATTAAATCTTTGTAATTGAAATGTCAAACACATTCTTATTATGGAGAAAGGCTGACTGTCTGTGCACGAGTCCTACAACAGTTCTGGACCACTCTTTGTTCGTCTGTATCATTCGAAATAGATAAACTGTTGAATGCCACAAACTCTTTAAACACTCATACGTGCCACAAGAACTAATCTATTTGTGGGAGTGGTTCTTGTATGGGCCCATTGACTCCAATGTGCACTGAGTGATTCAGTTGACCCTGGCACTCAGGAAAACCCTTCACACCACATGCTGTAATATTAAAACACATTTGTATCAAAAGGAAACTGTTCAGTTTTACCACACATCTTTTTTTCTTAAAAAATGATGCTTTGGGCTGCATGTGGTAAACAGTGTCAAGCTGTAAAATGACAAAAGAGGCAGAGGCGGAGTTGGGTTTTCTACTGCAGTGTGGATTACGTGACTAATATTTCCAAATCTATCTATCTCACCATAACAACCTTATATGTATCCGGTCTGCTCGCCTCCACAACAGTAATAATAAATTCAATATTCCAGCCAGGCGCACAAACCTACCATTATTCACTATATACCTGCCTGTGTGTGTGCGTACTACAGAGAGAAATGGAAAGGCATTTTGAGGGTTCGGGGTGTGTGTGTGTCGTATGGTATATGTGTGTGTTGCTCACTAGCTGCTGTTTCTGATTGTAATACATGAGGGCCCTTGCTGTATTTGAACCACATGTGTTACATGCCTGCTGTTCTAGTTTTACATTAATAAAATGTGTGTCTGTGTGTGAGTGCACACTCCTGCTCCTGCTAGTGTTATAGTAATAAAATCATCACACAACCTCATTGTTTTTGACATTTAACTAGAAAACTCTGAAAAGGGAGAGGAGAGGACAGGAGAGGACAGGAGAGAACATCCTGAGGGAAACATTCCCCTGTGGTAAAGCTTTTCAAGTCATGTGTGATGTGATGGCAGCTATGTTTTCCTACTAATTTCCAAGCATCACCCCGTGAATCAGATAGCTCCTTCTGCAGATGATTCACAGGAAACTGGCTTCAGCAGGGATGGGAGGTTAGAAATTGGGGCAGTATATTCTTGTGTCATGAACTGATTTTTAGCAGTTAAACCTCTGAATGTTATTGTGGACGCTAGAAGCTAGCATTGTCAGAAGTGCTTATATATAGATGGTACAACTGGACACAGAGGAGAAGCTATCATATTTCATCTCCTACAGGGGGGCATAAATAGATGAAAGAGCTTCTTGGCCAAAAAAAATCACAGTCCTCCAAATATCAATCTGAGAATTGGAAACTGTTTTCCTGACACTGAGGTATTAGGAAAAGAATTCCACTCTAAAGCTATTGTTTCAATAAAGAATTTAGTAATTTATTTTGCATTTGGGCCAAACACTGGGTGCTATTTTTCCCAATTCTTGTAGCTTATTGGCTAAATAACTTTTATAAGTAATCTATTTTCAAGTTCAAATTAAACAGCATAAAATAATGGAAAGTAATTTGCAGAGGAAAAAAAGGGGTCATTCATTATCTCTACCTAACTCATATACAGTAAAACATTATTCACAATGCTAAAGATTTCATTTGATTTATTTTACATTTGTTGTGCTTTTGGCTTTTTCTGAAACAAAAAATAGAAAAAAAAAATAGCTCCATAAGTTAGGATGCCATTATCTTATCTTATTGAAAATTGACCAGAGGACACCAGGGTCATGTCCTCAGTAATATGTCTATGACTTTGTGGGGTTACATGACATCAAAATAGGTTTACATTCTACAGTTATACACATATTACACTTGTTGTTTTTTAAGTCTAAATGTCTTTAAAAATTCAAACAAATTACAACCAAACCAGAATTACATACCTGTAGAGAAACAACATTTAGACCATAATGCAGGGAGATACCATTTATAGATATAATTGAAAATGTAAAAGTAAAAGTGGGGTCATGCTGCTGCATTTTGGACTCAGGACCAAAATTTGCCACAACTAGTGAGTATTTATTAAATCCTGGTGTTTGGAAAGATTCAATGCAGGAATTAGTTTGAAAATATGACTTTAAATGATCAGGAAGATTCTCCTCTCTGAACAATACACTGTATATAAAAGTACATATTTGGAAAATATGAATATCAAGAAGCTAAAAAAGTAATCACATCATGCTGAGACATCTCCCAGCGCAGCTAAGTGAATTTTAATGGCATAAGATTTTTCAGCTCGCTAAAACATCAGTCATGACAGTTAGATGTGTCACTCCCTCAGTCAGAGCAGACTTTCTTACTGACAGTCAACAATCATAAAGAGTGAAATCCAGTGAAGAACTGAAACTGGGTATGAATTTCTCCACCCATGGTTGCCTGGATAGTCTATAATGCATCACAGCTTAAATACACGTTGCATTTTGACTAAAGAGCGTGACTCACTTTTTCTTGATAGGAACAAATGTCACTCTCCTGTTTTCAGTCCTGCTCTCTCCACCTACGCACAGCCAACTGAAAGCAACAAGCTCATTTCTGATCTGGTGGGATTGGTTAAAGCCATTCTGGGAAACGCAGGAAAGCATTGCTTGGAGTAAAACAGTTTGAGAGGGAGTGGGTACACTGAACGGGTAAATTGCAACAGTTAATCACAAAATAACTGCTGGAATGCAGTGAGCATCGCAGATTGATGGTATCTAAGAGCGAAAGAGTACCTGAAGGGGGAATTTGTCTTTAATAGTGTGGTTGACATCCGCCAACTCACAGCTCTAACTTGATCACAGTGGGTAATACAAGGGGACCGCTGTCCAGTTGTGTGTGTTATGTATCTGTGTGGGAGGGCAGTAGTGGCAGTGGCAGCACAGACTGGGAACAAACTGTACCTCTCAAAAAAATCAACAGGCTGTGACCAAGTTGCAGCAAAAGAGTTGAGGTGGCAATATTTACGGTGCGGGTGATACAGTACTAAAATTAATTATTTTCATTTTTGCCTCACAAATCTTTTATGCGAAGCAGCAGAAAAGTTTTGAAAGTTTCCTTCAATGTATAATCCCTTACAGATTACTGATTGCCTGCTCGAAAAGGTCATCGCTCACAGAATTCAGAGGGAAACTTTGCATCTATTTTCTATTGCACTGCCTCCACAACGTACATAACATCCCTCTGAGAACAATTAGTCCAATCTATACATTTTAATTTGTATAGCACCATGATATTGTACAGACAAAGAGTATATGCTCACTGTCATTAGTTCTTGTAGCCCCAGCACTGTTTCTCATACTGTTTTGATGCTACATTGCCCATTGTTTCAGCACTGCTTGTTTACTGTTGGTCTGATTTGGCTTGGTTGTACAAATGCCATTATGTAAGAAGTTTCTTAGTCCTAAAATAGCATGGTGTTAAAAAAGAAATGCAAGCAGTTTAAGTAATAGCTTGATGAGTTTGAAGGCTCATCAGACCCAAAACACTGCACAGTGATTTATAATACTTTGAGACAGGATATTACAACTCTTGAAAGATAACAATCTCTCAAAAGTAAATGCACTGCCGAATAGTGTACCATTGCAATGAGGCTTAAATTGAACCAGGTTAAGCTTTTTCGCTGGATGACCATGGCCCTGTTAGGACCAACGCAGTGGTTTCATGTTGCAGCCATAAAGCAGCCATAAAGTGTCGGTATGCTTGTCAGATCGTCCAACAGTGTCTGTGATCCCTCACACCTTTGAATTGGGGGAGATGTGTCCGACCATTTTTGTACCTTTCAGAAACCAACAATTTGATAATGATTCGATTTTGGACTGAAAGTATTATACTTGTTTTTTTCTCTTCAACACAGCGTTATGTGCTTTATCTTTGTCATCAAATGTATTTTTCGAGATATTAGTGGGTTTTTTTCTGTATCAATTAGTCATTTGTTTGTGAAAATTATGAAAAGCCTGCAGGGCTCCACAGATTACTGTGTTTCTCATTAAGATGTAATGCAATTTGCATATTATTTTCCAGCCCTGTGTATGAGAGCAGGGATACAATATGGGGTGTATCATTTATCAAGTTTTTATTGAATACCTGATCATTTCCTTTCTGGATTCCTGCAAATAAAGGCCTATTTGCGAATGGCTCTGTGTAATTCAAGCTTCAGTCAAAAAAGTTAATACATTTTATGACTAAACCTTTCATAATCCTCAACAAAAGCAGTTGTTATTACTGCAAAGTTTGAGGGTCTGCAGCTTAGAGCAACTAATGGCTTTGCCGTGTGTGCATTCTACATGAGTAATATTGTAGTATAGATGAATTATTGGCACCCATCCATGACTATGCACTGCTGTGCCACAAGGGTCTTTAATGTGTGTGTGTTTTTGTGTGAAAGAGAGAGAAAGAGAGAGAGAGTGTGTGTGTGTGTGTGTATAAACCCATAGCTTTTATATACTGGCTGGTAGACAAAAACAACAACCCTGAAGGTAAAAGAGACAAATCTAATCATACACACAGGGGGAAAGCTATCACACACACACACACACACACACACACACACACACAACCACACACACCACACACACACACACACACACACACACACACACACACACACACAGAGTA